AGTCATGATGTCTCTCCTGATCCCAAGCTCTTCACAAGCATGTGGCCCTGGATTCTGTTTCCTCCTTCCTCGGGAGTTTTGAATACAGATTCCAGCAAATCCAGAAACCTCTGAGCCTGTTTTGAAAGCCTACTCTTCTTAAAACAGACTTTCATCCTGGTGATTTCACCTCCTGGATTGTCAGCCTTGGGCCTTCACAGAAAGTACCTTTACTATGGCTAAGATTAAAGAGCATCAGGCCTTTTCACCAATTTTTCCCCGTGGCAGGTCTAGTCTTGCAGTGTGTAGTTTGCAAAATCTTCCTGAGGCTACAAGTAAGATGCTTTCGACATTTCTCCCTCATTCACTTCTGCCTTTCACATCAGCCTCATTTTCTCTCCTTCCTTCACCCTCCTTTGTCATCACTCTCTACAGAAGCATGAAATTCTCCTTTGTCTCATCATTTTGGTAATCATGGGAGATCTCTCTCAAAAAACAAACGTTTTCTTTATTATAAAATGAAGTCAGACGTTATAGAACAAAGTTTATTGCGAAGAAAGAGCTTTATCTTTTAACAGACGCTTTGGAAAGTCATAAAAATTATTTCTTTTGTCGGAAAAATTTAAATGTCTTGCAGATGTTTTATACTCATCCATATTTGTGTTTGAGCTTATTGCTGACTTCACCAGACCCTTTTTTCCATCCTCCCTGTAACTTACCATTCTTTTGAGACTTCTAATTGTTTTTCTCCTTTTCTCCCAGGTGTCTATCTTAGAAAGGCGCAACACGGCAGGCAGGGTGGTCTATAAAACTCTGGAAGATCCCTGGACGGGGAGCGAGAATGATAAATTCATCCTTTTGGGTTATCTCGACCAACTGCGGAAGGACCCAGCTCTCCTGTCCTCGGAAGCTGTGCTCCCTGAATTGACCGATGAGCTTGCTCCTGTAAGCATGTGGCCCAGGAGTGTGGGCACCGGGCAGGGCTGGTGAGCTCCCAGGGCCTGAGCAGAGGGTCAGCACCAGCACTGTGCTCTGAGAAGGAGGGCTTCTCCCACACCCGGCGCTTGGGAGTCCGGTCCTGACCGTCATCCGTTTTCTCTCTCGATAGATTTTTCTCCTTCGGTGGCTGTACTCTGCCTCTGACTACATCTCAGACTGCTGGGATAGCCTCTTTCACAGCAACTGGTAGGAATATTGCTAGATTGACTTTCTTTTGCTCCATGAATAGCAAGACCGCTGTTTTTCTTTTGAAAAGAGTCTACCCTTTGATATGAGTGTATACTCAATCTAGGCGAGTAGAAGAATGTTTACACATTTTCAACAACTGCTCCCCATTTTTTTTCTTTCTGTAACTTCACATTTTTTTATGTTTGCTGATTGAGCCTTTCCCACTGGTGGGGAAAGAAAAGATCAGCCCTGGCTACCCTTCCAGACAAGAGTCTGGGACCGTCCTCTTCATCAGGGCACCTCTGGGACCCAGCCCGGGGCCTGACACACATGGAGTCCAGTGTAGAGATGTACAAACCAGTCGATGAATTAATCAGAGATGGGAGGGATATCCCACTCCCACCCCAAAAAGACTGGGCTTCTGAGGGACAGAAAGAAGCCCCTCTCATTCATGTTTGTGATTCCTGGCATCCAGCTCAGCTCCTGAAAAATGGCGGACCTCTGATGAGTGTTCATGGGTGAATAAAATTTTAGAACAGCAGTCCTGTAGGAAACTGTGAAAGGTCAGCTTGCTCTCCCTACCCCACCCCTCTGGGCCACATCTGAGTTATTCCAGCCAGGAAAAAACAATTCAAATCAAGGAAATAATTCCAGGCTTTTTAGTCACTGATACTACCCTCCATATTTGAATATTCCCATGTTCACAAGTGAAATCCTTGGTTACCCCTCTCACTGTTCCTCCTGCAGGNTGCCACTCGGCCAGCCCTGGAGTTTATTTTAATTGTTCACTTTGCTACAAATCTTCAATTAAGTAAATTTTCCTAAAATTCAAAATGATTGCCTTTTTTAATCTGCCAGCATAAAACAGTATACAAAGGTTAACCAGTGTAAAGAGCACTTGATTTTCCTTTGACCTGAAGTAACTACATCATTACTTTCAGCCTGACATTGTTGAAATAAATGACATGTTTATTTGTTCAAACAGATCTTTCTTATTTTGTTACGTTACTATAGCCAGGGTCAGCCATATTTTTATTAAGCTTATAAGTAAAGTCCATTTGCAGTGAGAAAACTGGATGAAAATCACCTGTTTTCTTGGTTTTTCTCTAGGCCCGCAATATGAAGAAACAGGCCATTGATGATTTCATCACCCAAAACAAGTATCTATTGGCAGCCAGGCTCACCAGCCAGAAGTTGTTCCATGAACTCTGCCCCGTGAAACGGTCTCACCGACAGAGGAAGTAAGGACTCAAGTCTTTGCCTCTGCTTGTCATTGCAATAGGGGGGCCATGTCACATTTTACTACGGGGCAATTAAACGTCTACTCTGTGACAGTCAGAATCTATTCTTTATGCAACAGATATTGACTGATGACTGTAGTAGTAGGGGACAGAATAATCCAGGGTACCTTAGGACCAAGTTATTGCCTGTGCCAGCCTGGCCTAGGAGTCAGAGATCTGCCTGAGGTGTAGCACTTTACCTGAGATCTGAAGAATGAGTAGACTTGAGCCAGATGTCAGGGAGGGATGGTTACTTTAAAGAAGCA